TGGGATCTGTCTTGCTTTTTTTTGTTGAACCACTTGTGTCGATTTCTCTCCTGGTGGTTGAAGTAGACGTGGTCGTATTTGCTCTTATTCTTAATAAGCATTGTGGTTGGAAGTTTGTTCAGTTGGAGTTGGATTCATTGCTACTTGGGAGATTTTCTACTCACAACATGGACCATACATTGAGTGTTCAATTTCAAATGAAGAGGACTTTTGAGCTAACTAAATTTATTAATACTTTGAGCTAACTAAATGTATTAATACTGTTTGAGCGCAAGTTAAACGGGATGGTAATAAGCCAGTTTGTTGGACTTCTAAGTTGGGTTCTACTGTTCAATCCTTCTTTTTTGCCAAATCTTTGCTTTTGGATTTGAAGTTGTTTCTTATTGATTTGTTTTATTATGTTGTTTGATTCTGTTGGGTTTGTATGTGGGATGTGTTATATATTTGTTCTTTTATTTTTTTTTTTGTGGGAGGGGGGTGTGCGTCTACATTTTTTTCTTTTTGTGCTAGTTGTATGTGGGGTTTAAAGGGGGTCTTGCCTGTCTTTTGTATTTTACGTGTGTATGGAAGTAAATTTCCTACAAGGTTTTATTATAAAAAAAGATGTTTAACATATTAGAAATTTACGCTTAACAACTGCACATAGAGTGCACTAAGCATGAGGAAAACCTCCTTACTAAACATAGAGTGCAATAAGCATGAGAAAAATTTACATAGAGTAAACTAAACATAAGAAATAAATTTATTTAAAAAACAATGTCATTAGATAACTTCACATGAGCAAGACATATTAAAAAATGCATTAATGAAAAAGAGGTTAAAAGATGTATTAATGGTAAATGGGAATATTGTTGTGTTAGGGGCTTATGTTACGAAAAAACAGAGGGAAGAAATGAGAGGTGAAATGAGGTGGAAGCGGTGTAGGGATTTGTTTAGGAGAAAATGAAGGGGAAGATCATAGTAGTGAAAACAAGATAAGGAGAACTTGAATGGAAGAAGAAAAAAAAGAATAAGAAGAAATGTAGGAGAATTAAATAGAAGATGAATAGTAGAGAAGTAAGTAAACAATGAAGTGTAGAGAAGTGAATGGAAGATTAAGTAGAGAAAAATAAGTGAAAGATGAAGTTTAGAGATATTAGTGGAAGGTGAAGCGTAGAGAAAAGCAAGTGAAAGAAAAAGATTGGAGATGAGGAAGAGGAATAAGAAGAATGAAAAAGAGTAAGAGGGCTTACATTGAAGGGTTGAAGAACACGAAAGGGTAACTAGACCGAGCAAATATGAGCACAAGAATGAAAAACCAAGAAAGGGGGCATAGGGGAGTATTTTTCTCTATGGAGGAAATGAACCTTTTATATAAGGTGTAAAGGTGGTGGTGGCCGAGCGAGAAAAGTTATGGATTTTGAAAGTGAGCAAGAGAAGTTGGCATCAGTGGCATAATTACACCACACTGCCTGATGGGGTGGCATGGTTACGCTTCCTTGAGGCATGACCATGCTGCTAGAGGTGTATCGATGTAGCCATGTCATTACTTGTATGGTTACCCAAAGGGTGACATAGCCACTTCTAAGTGTTAAATGGATATGTTGACTAGAACTAGGGTTTTGAGGCTTTTTATGTTTATTTTGATCTCGGTAAGTTCATTATCATGCAATATCTTTCCATGGGATAAGGTAGACTATTCTGATCAAGTAGTGGTTGAACAAAAATGAGATTACCAAATGGACCCCAATATATATGGACTTATTAAAGCACGACGCACATATTAACATTAAAGGAGATGATTAAGTACCAAAATGAGGTAGTGATATTCAAGATTCATGTTTTGAATTGTGGAATATAATATGAGGATTGATGTTTTAATTTGAATGATCAAGGATTTGAAGTTGAAAATTTCTAAGCTTTGTATTTTTTATCAATATGATTCATTAAAAACTTACCCTGGGGATCTAGGAAAACGATTACTAGAAGATTTTGAATTAATTTTTTTGTTTATTATTTTTTATATAAAATAATTTCTTATCATTCTATATAATTTCATATTTCATTTTATCACTTCAAGTCATGTCATAGAACATCATATCTTATCATTTCTTATCATATAAATTAATATCATGTCAAATCATATCATTTCATTTCATGTCATGTCATCATATCATGGAATGTCGTGATATGTCATGTCATGTCATGTCATCTCACTTAATTTCATATTATCGTATTACTTTATCTCCTCTAATATGATATGATATCATATCATTACATTTCATTTCATACTTTGTCATATATTATCATATCATGCACCCAAACACATTAGGAAGAAAAAAAGCAAGAACTCACATTTAGTCAAAGAAGTGCAGATGGGTAACTAGATCATGATAGAAAGTATAATGATTGTATCTAACTATGGAGATAATCAAGTGATCAATTTATGATATAAAACTCAGGAACCTGGATCCATCTTAGAAGCAGACCCAACATTTGTAGAAGTAAACCATTAAGATTGATCTTCTAAGGTTTTTCGTCCTATGCGTATTGACTAATACCATATAATGGTTACATAAGCTCTCTATAGGATGTACTTCGCCAAGGTGTTGACTTGTTGAATGCATCATAGGGATATATGTTAATGATCCTAGAGGGAGAAAGTATCATGTATAAATATATTTCTTAGAGAAACACGTATGTAGATTTTTTGCTGCCAAATAATGGGTTACAAGTATAAGCAGTGGATCTCAATAGAAACCCAAAATACAACTCACCCAAAAGTAAATTCTAGGGATCCAACGACCATGTTTACAATGAAACACAATTAAAAAACTGCAAAATACAAGTAAACACCAATTATAAGTAATCCTTAAAAAAGTTAAACCAACATAACCCAGAAGCAAAAATAAAGAGATTAACATCTGATGTAAGGAACCATAATATCTCCATGTAAAAGCAGTTTAGGTGGGAGAGGAAACACTACATGAACCATAACTCTATTAGAAGTAGATCTAGCCTTAGCAAGCTATTCTGTCGAACGGTTTCCCTCCTTAGGAATGAACTCCAAAGTAAATTTAGATCCATGGTCAAAGAGAAAACACATTTGACACATAACAAATGTTCCAAGGGGGTGGTTTGATACCCTACAGAATATGAGTAAGCACTGAAGACTCCAATTTTATATGTAACCAGTTCCATTTCAAAATAACAACAATTTTGATGGCCAAAAGGACAGCCAGCACTTCAGCTTCCAAAGATTAAGACGCCACTTAAGAGGAAAGGAAAAATCATAAGCAATTACCCATATTATCTCTAAAAATACCACCTACATTAGAATTATCCATACATCAACTACCATTTGTGTTTCCTATTATCCAAGGTGTAGAAAGCCTCCTCCATAGGACCTATTGAACACATCTAGCCTTTCTTTTTTTACTCTTATCTTGCACCAAAGTATTAAAATAGTCCAAACCATCAAATAAAGTGATATCAACATGACCAAAAAGAGCAATTTTATGTAAATGAGAAATAATATTAGCCACCACTCTTTACTCTTTAACCACTAAATTCTCATGCTTAAACAAATTTCAAACCATCCATATGAACCATAAAGAAATGTAGGGAATTAAAGCAGTAATCTTATTTACACTATAATTTTAATTCCAAGTACATAAGCAATTCTCCAGATTAAACTAACCATTGGGAAGGGGCAGTGATGCCCAGGAAACTCACTATAGAGAACCAAATATGCAAAGAGTAAGACCAATTTAGAAATGGGTGATTGAAGTTCTCCTCCACCATTTTACAGGGTAAGCATTGAGAAGGAAGGCATAAGCCCTTGAGTTTCAGTAAGTCATCGATGGGTAATATAGTATAATAGGCTCTCCATATGAAGAATGGCATGGAGGGGGAGAGAAGTTTATTCCAAATTAACTTACCCAAATCCACCTACACCCAAGAATACAAATTATGATAACTTTAGTGATAGAGATAGAAGAGGAGTATTTCATGATCAATTTATCCCTTCTTGAACTATTAATGACGATCTTGGAGATAGAGCAAGTTAAACTCTGCCATTCCAACAATCAGCCACCTTGTAATGCATAGTTGCCACATTAGACAAATCACCCAATTCTTCCATACACCAAGTGTCATGCCAGAAAGATATGTTGCCTTCACCAAGATCCCAAAAAATAGCTATTTCAGCCAATTCTCTAACTTTCAGCAAGTTTGTTGTATTTCTTGAACTTATTAATAAAGAATCTTCATTGCTTAAGATATATATATATATATATATATAT